CAGCCATTCATTCCTTTTCCCTTGCGGTCTGCAAAAATCGCATCGTCCGCAGAATCTCCAAGAAGTGCGTGGAGCGTGGAGCAAGCAGGCCCGAGGGTGGATCAAGGACAACTCACAACTCACACCTCACGGTCTGGTGATACCATTTGCTGGCAAACATCTCATGGGCTGGTTGCTTTTTCCTTCCTGCTGCTTTCTTCTGTGTCTGCTTCTTCCTCGCCGTGGGTTGCTGCTGGGGGCGGTGGTGATGCCCTCTCTTTTCCTTCTCTCCCCCCCTGCAAACGCCCATCTCCTGCTCCCAACCCTTGCCTCTCCGATACGCAGCACCGTTCTTCTGGAAGCAAGCATCATCACTCGACTCGTTCGCCCTCCGTGCTTTGCTTCCGCTGCTTCTCCTGCTGCTGCTATTCTTACTTCTCTAGCCTCGGGATCAGCCGCCCCGTCAACCTGGCTTCTCTATCCGTTGTTCGCTTTGGGGCCTTTTTTTCTTTTCTTTTTCTTCATTCCCCCTTTCACTTCGTCTCTGCCTCTTGTTCTTGTCTGTCTGCCCTCTGCTACGATCTACACATACGTGCACTCCTCTTCTTTGTCTGTGAGCCTAACAAACTAACTAGTGGTGCGGTTCGTCCAGGCAAAGGTGGAAGCGTTGAAAAATTGACAGCAGAGAAAAAAAAAAAAGGTCATATCAAGGACCCCCCCTGGCCCCCACGAATGGGAGAAAGGCAGAAGGGATCACCGGTTCCAGCCATGCGCAGTTCCCGATACCGTACGCCAGTGCGTTCGTCTTCCCTCTGCGCTGGGGAGGGGAAAATGGATAGCCAACGCCATCGCCCTGGGCCCGGAAGTATGTATGTACGGTGGATGTGCGTCTGTGATGTATGTACGTCTGTCTCTTCCGTTCCTGTGCCTTACCCTTAAATTCTTTTGAGTTCGAGGTTCTACAACGACCTCAATTGCCCACATATCCTGCTGCTTTTTCCTCCTCTTCGGCTTCATTCTTCGTCATTCCGCTAGTTCAGGGGGAGGCGTGAGCAAACCATCCCCCGAACAAGGGAGAAAAGGAAGCTCCTAGCAGATACACAGAAAACACACACACACATACACACACACGGCTCATCGCATCTCAACTTAATCTAATCGAATAAAGAAGGGCAAGCGAAATCAGAGACAGATCACCGCCGATCAGATAGGAATCTCATATCTTTTTCAATTTCGACGGGAAAAGAAAAGAAAAGGGAGAGAAAAGGAAAAAAAAAAAAAAAACACCCCGAACAAAGCCCCCACTGGAGACCTTAACTAAAGAGGAATATGTCTGTTGTCTCTTTCGGATGTTCTAGAGGGGGGAAGGGGAGAGAAGGGACTGAGAGCTCTTTCGCTGGACGTATTTTGGAACAGCCTCCGGAGTACAGAGCAGTGTCGTACAAGGACGCCTCTTCTCTCTTTCTCTACTAATGGCCATCCCTAACTGCTTATGGACAGCCTCTTTATTATGGTTTCCGCCGTACATACATACATCATGTATGTACATCCGTCTGTCGCTCTCATGCAATGTCCTGCAACTGCAATGCAGGCAAAGAAACTGCTGGAAAGGGAGCTCTCTTCCCTTTTTTTTTTTTTGTCGAACGAGCCAACTAACCTAACCATCAAATCGTTTTGCTTCTTCTTCTCCGTCTATCAAATTGTGATCTCCTGCCTGTCTCGTTTTTCTTTCTTCTCCCTGTCAAGGGTAAGACATATTCATCTCGACCAAATGATCATAACTAGTCGAGTCAATCAATCAGTCAGTCAGGTTTTATTGCTTGATTTGACTCACTCCCGTCTCATAACACTCGTAATTCCAGTACACATTGCTGTGGTTGAGATTGTTTACTTGCAAGGCATTAATGCATTGACAACTGCAGCCACAGCTACTACTATCAATTCTCTTGGTGGCCTGAGCAATTGCCCAAGCTCTCATTTCCAGTGTTGATTCCGCTGTAATTTTGACAGAAACACCATATACGATCCAATTTCGATGTTCATCCAGGATCCCGTCATCCACCGTGCGTTCAGAATCAGCCCCAACGCCTCCTTCGATATCCCTCCAAAACGCCCTACCATTCTACATCTCTACAGGCAAGCACTCTGTTGAAGCACTGGCTGGCAGTACCAGGATGTCCAAATAAAAGAAGGCCAATGAACACCTCCGTCCTATCAAGAGGTCATAAAATAACAAGTAAGGCTCAGCCCGCTCCCTTCACCCCCGTTCCCCGTTCCCCATCGGAATCAATCAGTCAGATACTCGGCTTTATTTTCATTTTATTATTTTCTTTTCTCTTCCATCCGTTTCGTGAAAATTCGTTTATTACTACTCTTATTTAATTTTTCTTATCTTATTTTTCTAATTTTTTTTTTTTTTTTGTAAAAAAAAATCCATTCAAAACCGCCGTCGCTGCCGCTTTGGCCCTGCTGGATACATAGTGGCCTGTTCAGTCTGTCCCTGACCGAAACTAGGATGACAACTAGTTAGTCCGTCTCTTCTCTTTTTGATTAAATTGCTCCGTGGGCCAGGTTAGCAAAGGGCGAAAGGCCCGATGACGGGGCTTAGGCAACATCCATCACGGGCTAGCCTGGCCAGTCAATTATTATTCAGTTATCTTGTCTGTGTCTGGTCGTTCCGGGTTGTGCTGGTTTGGTCTCCTTGCATCGTTGAAACGAAGGAAGGGCTCCCCCCCCCCCCCCCCTTTTGGGCTTCCCCTTCCCTCTCCCAACACTAATCCCTTCTCTTGGATCAGTCTATCGTTTTATCACAAACGGAGTCGAATGGAAGCACCATCTTCATGATGAGTCTGCTCCCCAACCAGGCTTGGTTCTGTTATTTTTAGGCCCTGGTGAAAGTTTTCTCTTTTCGAGGCCCGCTCCAAATGGCATGGCATTACATAATATGACCTCGTTAACTAAAGCCGGGTGTACCTCCACGTGAGTAAATTAAGAATAGAAATTACTTTCCCTGCTATCGGACTTGG